TAGAGTCTATGTGTAATTGTATTTATGATCAACAACTTTGTAGTTAGGTCGCGCAGGTCTGACAATGATGTAAGAACATTGTCCGATAAAAAAATAATAGTATAATATTAGTAATGTATAAATGTATAATTGTACCATTATAAAAAATATAAAAAAAAATATTAATACCATAATGGCCTAAATCATTCCAATAATGCAAAAGCATAATTGAAATATTAAGTTTTGTTCTAAATAATCAAGAGAAGATTAATTTTTAAAAAAAAAAAAAAACTTAACATAAATTTGTTTTTTTTTTTTAATAAAAAAATTCAAGAAAATCAAATAATTTTAAAGTAGTTCCTGATTTATAATATTTGATGCTCAACTTTGAATGCTATGTATTTAGTCGAGCTAATTATTTGACCAAAGTTTATGTTAAATTTTATATTATATATTTTTTTAATACATTTTAACATATTCATAATATATGTTTAACAATTATGTCAATTATACTTGGGATGAGGTTCGAACCTAAGACCTTATATAAATTAAGAGTATGTTAAGAATAATAAATAGTTAACGGAATATATGTTTAACAATTATGTCAATTATACTTGGGATGGAGTTCGAACCTAAGACCTTATATAAATTAAGAGTATGTTAAGAATAATAAATAGTTAACGGAATATTCCGTTACTAAAGTTTAAACTAATGGAATTTAGGGTTATTTAAGGGAAGAAAATAATATAATAGAGGGTAAATAAGGAAAATCATTAAAAGATACTAAAATCAAAATAATATGAACCATTCATTTTAAGAAACAATTAGTACCGACATTTTTTTGTTCCAGTTAAGGGCCTAACATTATTCGCTCTTATTAGATTTGTAGATTGTAGATAAAAGTCTGAATGATGGTCCAAGCCTGTATATGGGAAATAATTCCATGGTGAAAGTCAAAGGCATTGGACAAGTTGAGTTGTTGCTTACTTCAGGAAAGAAGTTGACACTCACAGATGTGTATCATGCCCCAAATGTTAGAAAAAATTTAGTTTCTAGCATTGTACGTATTGAACAAGTGTGGTATTGAAAAATGATTTGGAACCGAAACTTAATGATTCGTTGGTGTTAACGAATCAATGCATTAATCAATTCGATGCTATTGAATCAAAGTTTGACGATTTGAAGTACAATTTGTTAAAATTCGTATTAATGCACACTTCATTATTTTTACAAATGGTTTCGGTGAAGGCTTAACGAAAGTTTAGTTTCGTGCTTTGCCTCGACGCGTGAAATGGATTAGCGAAAGTTGATGGCCCTTTTGTTAAATTCGTTGGTTAAGCGAAATGAATTCGTCTTAAACAATGAATCTCACGAATCGATGCATGAAATGGTTTGCTCCTTTCGGCCACATGAAATTAACGAAAGTAATTTCAATTCAAAAGCTTTTTTGGTTTGTGTCTACTGCATGCAGTGGCGGAGCCAGGATTTTTTTTCAGTGGGGGCGAAGAAGCAAAAGGAAAATAAATTTAAAAAGTTCAAATACAAGATTCAAATACAAATTAAATAAGATTGTTAAAATACAAATACATTATAAATTACAATATAAGGTTTATGATAAACTACAGGATAATACGTCACTAAACAATGTTGAAATCGTTGTAGAACTGATTCATTTGAAACTTGATCAAAAATATCTTTTTCAACATACGACACTAAACAATCATTTAATAAATCATGACTAAACTAATTACTAATCAAGTTAATAAATTAAGTAATTAGAAATTAACTAGGGATATAATCCACACTAATTAACAGTTAGCAAAAACTAACAGTAACTAATTAACAACAAAAACTATAACACTAGTAATTAATTAATTAACAGTAATTAACAGTTAACAATTAATAAATTAAATAGTAATTTTAACTAGTAAACTTAAAAATTAGCCATTAGTCATTAGTAACTAACAATAGTAACTAACATATATAATTTTGGGCAGTGGGGGCAGCTCCCCCACTGCCCCCATGCTCCCACTGCATGCATGTAAGTATTAATATATATTATTTATTTATTTTGCATGTTAACATGCAATGATTATATATATATATATATATATATATATATATATATTTTTTTTTTTTTTTTTTTTTTTTTTTTTTTTTTTTACTTTGTTATTTTGTATGCAGTGCATGAACCTATGAAGGTCGATATCATATGAATATATATAATATTCAATTATATATTTCCCATGTCTGATATATCAGATAAGATATATATTATGGAAGTTGAGTTTTGAACTCTAGTAACTTCCATGTAACTTCTCCAAACTGCTATATTTACATCTATAAATATGTGGAGAAATGTCTGAAAAAAGACATGCAATAAACTTGCATTAAACTGAGATTTTTCATAGTACTATAGTTCTACCGGAAGTTCTTAAACAAATCAACTTAAGAATTTCATCATCTTCTTGTATCCCATAAGTGATCGCACGCCTGAAAATCCTGTTTGTCATCAAACACTCAATTTTCTAACAATATATGTTTTCTTGGAAAACGTCTTGAAAGTCGCATAAAGTCATATTTCAAGAACAAGTTACACTCGGCCATTGGACGCCTACCATACTTGTTAAATCCAACATAACTTTAATGGCAAGTGATTGATTCAAATTTTTCCCTCAAACAGATAAATTTGAAGTTCAACTATAAATATTACATATATTGACATTTCGATCATTTTTTACTTTATGTGCTAATTGACAATTGACATTTTTTTTGAAAACGATAATGAACAAATTTAAAAACACACCTATTTAAGAAATTCATTTTCATACATCGTTATCTATAATGTGGACTAAGTCCTTTATTTAATACGGAGTATATCATTCCATAATACGGAGTATATCATTCCATAATCCTAATCATATGAGAACCATGTCTCGGGTGAGAACGTGATGACAAATCTAAACCATTAATCTGCAAGATCTTATGTATGAGAAATCAAGTAAAAAATGAGTGGGGTCACACTACAAGAAAAATGCGCATAGACAACACTAGAAAGACAACAGTTTTTAACAAAAGTGTTGTCTTTTGTATAAAAGACAACAGTTTGGTCCAAAATCGTTGTCTTTGACGCAACACTTTTGTCAAAGACAACGGTTTTTATTTAACCTTTGTTATAAATATTTGTCGTTATGCAATTTGAGAAAAGACAACACTACGACAATGGTTTTTAAAAACCGTTGTCTATGTGCGTTTTTTTTAAGACAACGATTTTCTAAAACAACTGTTGTCTTTGATATATTGTCTTTAAGTGTACTTGAATAAACAACAGTACAAAGACAACAGTTTTCTAAAACCGTTGTCTTTGCGCATTATTATTTTTTAAAAGACAACGATTTTATTTAACCGTTGTCATTTGTGTGTTGTCTTTAATAGCACTTGAATACACAACACTATAACGACAACGGTTTTATAAAATCGTTGTCGTTGCACGTTCTTTATTATTTTAAGACAACGGTTTTATCTAACGATTGTCTTTGATATGTTGTCTTTAACCGTATTTGAATACACAACACTACAAAGACAGCGGTTATAAAGTTGTCTTTGCGCATTATTATTTTTTAAAAGACAACGATTTTATTTATCCATTGTCATTTGTGTGTTGTCTTTAATAGCACTTGAATACACAACACTATAACGACAACGGTTTTATAAAACTGTTGTCGTTGCACGTTCTTTATTTTTTTAAGACAACGATTTTATTTAACTGTTGTCTTTGATATGTTGTCTTTAAGCATACTTGAATACACAACACTACAAAGATAACGGTTATACGCATTATTATTTTTTTAAAAGACAACGATTTTATTTAACCATTGTCATTTGTGTGTTGTCTTTAATAGCACTTGAATACACAACACTACAATGACAACGGTTTTATAAAATTGTTGTCGTTGCACGTTCTTTTGTTTGTTTTTAAGACAACAGTGTTATTTAACCGTTGTCTTTAAGCGTACTTAAATACACAACACTACAAAGACAACGGTTATAAAAACCGCTGTTTTTGCGCATTATTATTTTATAAAGACAACGATTTTATAAAATAAATTAAAATGCTATTAAGAAGGGTTGAACTTGAAACCTTTAACATAGTATGCAAGGCTCAACCCACGACACCACACCAATTCTTGTATATTGAAGCACGACACCTAATAATTATCCTAAATTTTATATAACCGTTGTTGTTTGTGTGTTGTTTTTAAGAACACCACAAAGACAACGATTTTATAAAATAAGTTAAAGACACTACCAATAAAGATTAAACCTGAAACCTTTAACATAGCATGCAAGACTTAACCCACCAAGCCACACCAACTCTTGTATATTAAAGCACGACATATAATATTTATCCTAAATTTTTTGGCTGGCAGCTTTGACCACCGACCATTGGCTGACCGGCGAGTGGCCAGCGGCATGTCCAGCTGGCCACCTCAGGCCATAACGTGGCAGGGTGGGGTGGTGTGCCCTCCCTTAGCACATGACTAGCAAGGTTAGCTATAGGTTGGTAATCGATCCTTCTGACATCCATGGGACACGTGGAGGATGGATATTGAAGACAAGTTGATGTCGTACACTTGTCAACAATTCGAAAGACCTTCTACACTATATAAGGCACCATTCCCTCCCTTTAAGGGGGCATCATCCGAGCACTACATACACTTTGGTCTAGTGGTTTCTGGTCTAGTGAGCCCATTGGTGCGTCATTATTAGCAGGCGGCAAAGGTTGGTCATGTTGGTTTGCCATATGATCGTATTAGGTTGATACCAGATGAGTGAATAAACTTTGTATTCAGTGAATTAGAAGAGAAAATTACAAGAGATTTATATGCACAAAGAGAAACACAAACTAAGGTAACTAACCAAGTATTACTCTAACCACTCAATATACTATCAACACAATAATAACAATCAACGCATTTAAAATTGAAATCAACATATACAATTCTTTAACAAAACATAAACACAAGTCAATAATAATAAAGATAATGTTTAAACCAAATAAAATTATACGCACTCTTCTGTAAAGTATTGTGCCCACAACTCTCGAACTTCATCTATTTCGTTCATGGAGTAGGCTGCTTCTTCAAATACCTACAAAAAATATTTAATTAATCAAATTAGTAAACATGTTACTCTGTAATTGATAAATATTAATTTTAGTATACATATAGTTGTATTTAAATTACTTACCTCATCTAGATACTCAAGCGTTGAATGCTTAGTAACAATCTCGAACATGTATCGCAGTACGTAGTATCCACATTCAGAGCCTCCCGATTGTTGTGGACACTACAATATATATATATATATATATATATATATATATATATATATATATATATATATATATATATATATATATATATATATATATATTCATGTTAATATCATATTAAAAAAATAAATAAAAACTAAGGTTAATATCATATTAAAACTTTAACTTTAAGTTCATACTCTGCATTTCTTCCAATTAACCGTTCTAGTTCCTCTTGCAGATCGAAATGCTCTATATTAATAATAAACATTTATATCAATTTATAAATAACATAATAACATTAAAATACATATATTAATAATAAGACTTTTACTTACATATTCACATAAATTTTGACGTCAAGGGAGCGCACACTTTTTATACTTTTTATAGGATCAAACACATACACCGTTTTTGAAGGTGTGCTAATCACGATCAGTATCCAATGATTACTACATTTACAAAATATATATTAAAATTTTAATATCAAACACTTCAAATAAAGTTATTAAGTTATATAAATTAGTAAAGTAAAAGACTTACTTTTGATGATATGGTGCCAATATGAATTGCTGATCCTTGTGTTTGTCCATGACCTGAATTAGATATGATGTAACGGCAGGAGAATTTAAGTCAACCATATCTGCTGAAATTTGTGTTGGACACGCAAACCCGATAGATGTCACTCCAAGCTGCTTACACAACTTATTCAAAAACCTGAAAAATAAAAAATAAGAAATTTCAATAAACTTAAAAAATAAATGCATATAAAACACATGAACAATTTAAAACTTACATCATAAACACTTGTATAATTGAGACATCGAGCCAATTCATTGTCAACAAATCCTGTATATCCTCTATCATCACATAAACACTATTCACGTGTGCATGTTGGAAGACAGTCTGATCTATATCATCATTGTACTCTTTGTCAACAGGAAATGATGACAACGCTTTGACAAGCCGCTTGCAGTATGTCCCCAAAAGCAAAAAGACATTTCCACCAACAATTGGGGATCGTGTAGCTGTAGCAGATTGCTCAGCACTTTGATCTCTCATTTGCTTATTTTGTCTTTGTGAGCTTATTTTGACATTTTCCTACCAAGAAAAAATCATTATATTCGAATTAATTTACAATTCTAAAGAATACTAATATTTTCAAAAACCATTGAATAAACCTTGTGCTACCAACCTTATTTAAATAGTAAACATGGAACATTACAACAAATGAAAATAATCACAAGAACTTGCTATACATGTTGAACAACATTACATTAGTATACTTCATGATTCACATACACTAAGAATTCACAAATAAAAATTATGCTAATGGCTTTCAAAAATTATTCTAAGAGTCCTGTATGCCATTGCTATTTCATGGGTGAAAAGAAAAGGGAATCAGAGTTGGTCTGAATAGCATGAACTATGGCATTGGAGTGACCAAAAACCAAAACAAGCAATTCTCATGATTAGATCTAGCGAGAAGCATCTTCAAAGTTGCAATACGGACTAACACTAAATATACAGTAACAGTAACAGGAAAGAGATTAAGACTAGTGTCACCTTGGGGAGGATTGGAGGAATAATGGAATGGGAAATTTGTAATTGGGTAAACCGTACCCTTTGCAACAATAAATGGCTTACCATCAAGACCACATAATTATAAGAAAATATATTTTGGTTATAAAATAATTATTAATATTACCTTAATTGTGGTTACTGGATATACATCAACCAAATGACAGCTGCTTCGGGTCGGAGGTTGATCACAAGGCGCATTAGCACTTTGAGGAGTGCCAATCGAAACTCCTTGTGGACCTTGGCGTGTGGCTGACATGTTCTTCATCAATATATTCAGTTGCTGGGTGAGCATGTCAATCTTGGGTTGCACCTCCAACAACAATGTAGTTTGCCTGACCTTTTCCATCATCTGTTGGACATCATCAATAGACATAAACCCACTTGGTGTGCCCCATTTCTGCTCTGGTTTACCAAATACTTGTCGGATGGTGGAGTATGAACCAATTCCTCTTACCAAACCCGAACCCCGTTTATCCTCTGGTTTACCAAGAGCTGTAGACAATATGTCATGATGTTTGTTTGGTTGAAATGTCCCTTGACTAACCTCATCACATCCTTCTTCTGACTTCTTAACTCTTGCTCGTACCCAGTCGAAACTGCGATCATCAGACAGTAATGACGAGCTAACAGAAGCACAAGAAGATTGTGAAGATAGAGGATCTGATATCATCCACTCTGGTTGTTTGTCCGCATATCCAGCAGAACCTAGGAAGTGTGGATGCTCATTGCATGCCTGTCTTTGCCTTGCCTTCTGACTTTTCTCCTATAATTTCAATGATATATTAATATTAATAAAACAATTGAACTAAAACACTTGAACTACTTATAATAAAATGAAATAAACATACCTTGAACGACTCACTCTCGCGTTCTGCAACAAATTTCGCCCAATTCTCTTCAGTCAAGAATTCATAGAGTTGTACAGGAGAATCATAATTTGGGTGCTTATTGACAAGATGTTCACGCTTCAATCTACTCTTGAAGTCTCTCCATCTCTTTGATGCAATTTTCAATACAATATTCTTCTTTGTATCATCTTTAATGCAAAATTGTGCCTGAATAACAACAACATAAACATAAGCAATGACAATAACTGATAATTATACTTATATCAATAATTGACAATTAATATAAAGTTATTGGATACCTTAACATCAGTCCAAATTGCATTTTTAAGCGTTTCATCTACTTTGGGCCAACTTTCAATGTTGATATCTACTCTAGTACGAACCAAAGTCCCAACATAAGATACAAACTTCTTGCTATATGATCCAACCGGCCTATTATATCCATCAAACTGAATTGATACTTCTTCTTTTGCCTTTTTCTTAATAAAGTTTTTGCATGCATTGGGGCCTCTTCTTTTAGGTACAATAGGAGTTTCCTTAGGGTCTGAACTAGAAGTTTCTCTAGTTTGATCACTCATGGTTGTCTATATATACCTGCACATGCAATATATATATATATATATATATATATATATATATATATATATATATATATATATCAATAAACATGTTATATTGCATTTCAAGTCCAATAAAATACCAAACAAAAGTTATTATAAAAAATTTATTAATCTTATAACAAAAAATTATGATGCCCGATGGTCAATCCACAATCCTTCTCCATGATCACTACGCATGTAATTAATTTCAAGGTTATCTTCCTCTGAACGGATTGACCAAATATCTACAAATTAACAAAGAGAACTTAAAGAAACACTCACATCTTTTTTAAAAATAAACAGTCACATCTATTAAGAGAGTTTAGTATGATATTATATTGTTTAAGACTCTAGAAAGTCGGCAGAGTTTTAAGTGAGCAAATGGACAGAAGATAAACAACATTAATTTTTGTTTCATATATTGTTCATGAGCTGTTAGATTATTTTTTTGATGAAACTGCAAGATCCACTGTCCAACCATTATATTCCTTTGAGAAAGGAAAGAAATTATATCAGTGTTCAATGAAGAAAAAAGCAAAAAACTACTAACCTTAATTTGGGCCTTTCAACAGGTACACGATTCTGAGATTCCCTAATCCCAATCCACTGCTGCCTTATTTGATTCCAAACAATAAAACCTTATTCAAAACATTTATTAGTTCAATCATGAACTTCAAAACCCAACAGAGCAAGAACCTCTTTCTGACCCCCCCAAAAATAGACAATAAATAACGATTTAGTTCTTGATTCTAACATAATGCATCAATTAGGAAAAACCATCAAAATCAAGGACCCAAATTAAGCATAAAAATACATTTAGGACTAAATAAATAAAAAAAATCAATATAATCGATGACTAAATTCAGTATTAACTCAATAACAAAATAAGAAATACTATCATCAACTATAATTATTTTCCTATTTAAAACCACTCATGAAATAACTATATGCATTAGTCTGCAATAATAGTAATATACCCAATCTAACCTTCCACTTCCCCCCTCAATTCTTTATTGCTATTTCAGAATTTAAATTTAATATAGTATTATTATTGACATTTCCATAATTGCTTTTTGGAGTTTAGAGCCTTGACACCTGTGCTATAGCTATTTAGCTGCTAAAACATCCTTAGACTTAGTTTTTCCTCTGCAATCTGTCCTGCTCTTACTCTACTCTGCACCTCTCTTCCCCCCTTTTTTTTCTCTTCTACCTTAGCCTTTGCTATAAAACATTTGTAAGGAAAAACCATAGCTTCAATCTTTTTTTATTTGTTCCATTCATTTCCCTGTTTGGTTGGGATCACCTTTTGATAAATAAATAAATAAAATAGTACAGATTTTCTCTAAACAATCAAGTCTTTAAAGAACTGGCCTTTTTTGTTTGCTAAAATGTTTTAAAAGTGTTATTCAGCCAATAAGTACTTCCCAATATGCTAACAATCACACTATGCTTGATAAGGTTCATACAATGAAGCAGAGCACAACACAACACAACAGCAAACAGTATAAAAATAGCTACATGAGTACATAGCCAATAAGATACTGTTTATTATAAGATACAAAGCAGTAGCCAGACTTGGGTATTTTATAAAAACAGTATACAATGAAGCAGAGCACAACACAACACTAATCAATCTTAGCTACTAATATCACAATAACAATAATATTTGAAATAAATTAATATAAAATAAATAAATAAACTTACCGGTCAAAAATGGAGAGTTTTCCGTTAGGAGGAATCGGCAGCTCCGGGGTGGTGACGGTGACGGTGGCGGTGGCGAGTGAATCTGCAATGTCAGCTGTCTTCGTCGGCGGAGGAAGGGCGGCGGCGGAAATGGCGGTCGGATCTGGTCTCAGGCGTCGTCAGAAATGGAGTGAATGGCAAGGGGAAGGTCAGCTGTCGTCGTCGGCAGAGGAAGGGCGGCGGAAATGGGAGAAGGCAAAAATGGCGGAAATCCGAAAAGTCTCAGACCTAATTTGCTTAATTTTGGGTTAACTTTCCGCGGCACCCTCTCCCAGGGGTGTCGCGGAAAGCTTTTTAATTTTTAATTTTTTAAATACCAAAACTACTTTCCACTCCACTTTTAAAATAAAGGTGTAGTGCATTATTATTTGTTGAGTTTTTTCCACTTTTGGTCCTATGACTTTAGTGTCTCCGTCAATTTAAGTTCACAAGTTTAATTCCTGACATAAGTAGTGCTTGACTTTGATATTTTTTTCACTTTTAGTCCTTTTGGCAATCTAAACGATTACTTTTAATCAGAATCAATAAATTGTCTTTTATATTTAAAGTTAAGAGGGATAAATAAGTCACCATCATCTTGTCTCCAAGAATAGCTTCACTGACAGGCCACAGATCGCCACTTCATCATCTCCTCTCTATGCCTCGAGCGCGAAGAACATTTCCAGGCTACTGGAGGGGTGGATGAGAGCTTCATCCTCGTCTTCTTCGTCCAAGGGGTTGACGGTGGCGACCTCCCATGGCGGCGGCCGGGAGTAGGAGGAAGACCAGAACAGCCCGGAGGCGGCGGATTAGCGGGGAGCAACGACAACAATGGGGCGATCTCGAAGGAGGAGTATTTGGATTCTATTGTGATGTTTAGGAGCTTGATGAATGGAATGGAGAGTGAGAGTTACAGTGGGAATAATAAGCAGAACGTGTAGGAAAGTAATGATAATGATAACCCTCCTCCATTAACGTTTCTTGAGAAATGGTTGTTGGATGAAAGTGCAGTGCAAGTTGAAGAAGAAGGAGGAGAGGATCAAGGTGCAGTCATGGAGCTTCCAACAATCTTTTCATAACAATAAAATATGCACTAACCAATAACCCCCAATACACCAATATTATACTTGTTCTTCCTTGAATTTGTCCAGGCCTGGCTGATTGAGAAGAATATTTTGTAGAGGTTGTGTTCACATGTGTGTTTACAGTAAGAGAGGGAGATGAAATACGGGAAGAAGAAGATAATTAAATAGTTTTAATTTTTTTTTTGTTTATTATTTAAGTGATGGTGAAAGACTTATTTATCCCTCTTAAATCTAAATATAAAAGATAATTTAGTGATTCCGATTAAAAGTAGTCGCTCAGATGACCAGAAGGACTAAAAGTGGAAAAAAAATCAAAGTCAAGCACTACATATGTCAGGAATGAAAGTTATCAACCTAAGTTGACAGAGACACTAAAGTCATAGGACCAAAAGTGGAAAAAACTCTTATTTGTTTCAACGATCAACTATACTCATTGATTTTTTAAAGAAATACCAAAATATGTTCAACAAATATTCCGACCCCAATTGAGGTGAGACTTAACTTAAAACCTTCTTTATGAAAAGTAACAAAAATGCTATCAAACCATAAGTTACTTGGTATTAGACTAAATTATTTTAAATTAATTATGCTTTGCCTTCTTGATTATATATAAATTTTAAAATCTTAAAATTTTTAAAAACTCAAATTATTTTAAATTATGACATGAGACACTGAGTCACTTGGACAAGCGCAGAAAATACCCAATGATACAATGAACGGAATGTGTGCATGTAGACATAAATAATGAGTGTGTGGATGAGAAGACGTAAAACGAGTTGGTGTGCACTTGTGTTGAACTGTGTGCAATTAGGTTGGTAGATTAGGGTATGCACTTGGGTTGACTGTGTGCACTTAGGTTACACTATGTGTACCATAATTTGAAAAATTAATTAGTTTGTGTAGGAAAATATGTTAAACATTTTGGTGTGCACTTGGATTGTGTTGTGTGTGCACTTAGATAAAAATGTACGTGTGTGCACTTGGGGTAACGAGTTTGTGCCATGATGCTCAAAAAACTGATATAGGAAATACCTTGTGCACTTAGGTTAATGAATTTGTGCATGCACCAAAACCATATTGGTGTTAAAGACTATGTTGTGCACTAGGGTTAAACTGTGTGTGCCATAACGTCGATAATGAGTATGTGGATGAAAAGATGCAAAATAAGTTATTGTGCACTTGGGTTGATAGATTATGTTGGGCAGTTGGGATGAGTGTGTGCACTTAGGTTACACTGTGTGTGCCAAAATTTGCAGAATTAGTTTGTGTAAGAAAAGATGTTAAACATTTTGGTGTGCACTTGGATTGTGTTGTGTGTGCACTTGGGTTAACGAGTTTGTGCCATGATGCTAATTGATATACGAAATACCATGTGCACTTAGGTTAGCGAATGTGTGCATGCACCCGTATACGACTGTGCATGCACCAATACCCCTAAATCATTGGTCTCTAGCTACAGAAACAATTATTCCAGGAATATTTTTATCTATGTACAATATAATCAACCACTTCTAGACATAATTCATACACAAAAGCTCACTTATCAAAACAAGAATGGAAAAGCATATACACAAAGGGTCAAAGGAAAAGTGAATTTATCACCTTAGTGCAAAAACAACTAAAGCAAAACCCATTAAAGAGATAATCAATACAAAATTACATCAAAATCCTTTCGGAACAATAAATATATAAACAAAAAAAAACAACAAAATTAACAAAACAAATCTTTCAAAACGTAAAGCACCATCATTTCCATCTATACTTCATAAATATGCACACTAACCATTACCATCGTGCACGCGACAACACCAGTTGGTACGTGGACTTGTCCTCCCTCTCACTACGGGGTGGGTTCGCCAACCCCATGCACACGATTCTACATACATATTCAGAGAGAGGCGTGGTGAAAGGTGGTCAAGTACAAACTCCATAACCCAAATTAAAATACTACAATATACTGATGTCCTAATCAATACAAATTACGGAGTATATAAAATTCACAACAGTGATATTATGAAACATTTAATTTAACCTAGTCAAAACATATATGTGCTTTTAAAATACTATCAATTTTAGCTTCTCTTGTGTTTAAAAAACACATAAATCAATTTACATCACTATTATTCAATTTCAATCATCAGAAGATACACCCGCTGTTAGTATATATATTATTTCATCTTATTATCT